TGTTAACCTCATTTTTATTGCCATATTCAAAACCTCTCGGCCCTTATAGGCTCCGGCCTTCTTCAGGATCTCTCTACATTTCTGAGATGAAGTATTGTAATTATTTACATTTTTCAGATTTTTTTCCCTCATTTTTATTGCCAAATTCACGAAGTGAACAAAATTACCCCATGCTGTTACACGATTTGGACACTTTTTCTGTTACACCCGGTATATATATATATATATATATATATATATATATATATATATTTGACCACACTTCTCCCCATACTTTTGAACAGGACTAACAGTTTACCCCTTGTTTCCTGATTAGGATTGGTTTTCCGGTTCCTTTTAAAGTCTTCTCATTTTCTTTCACACCCAGTAAGTCCCTGCGTCTTAGTGGCCTTTTCGCCTTGCTTGTGGTGAACTATTAAAAAGAAAAAAAAAACTAGCAACAGAGACAGAGCTTTTTCGTCTTGAGTGACAGCGACTCTAGAAGAAGAAGAAGAAGAAGAAGGAGGAGGAGGAGGAGGAGGAGGTGGTTAATTATGACAGCCTTAAGTCAGAGCAAAAATGACGGGCGGGAAAATGTGACAACAGACAACTCTAAAACGGGAATGCAAAAATGAAACGAACACCAACCCGGAGGTCATTTGAAGAAAGAAATGTAAATGCTTGCAGCTGAGTGTCTATTGAAATCCTTACGCAAAGGATATCTAAAAAGTAAATATGAATTCCTATCAAGAGAAATCCAGAACAATTCTGTAAGAACAGATGTTATTGTTGAGATGTTGAGTGTTTCCCCGTGCGTGTATTGAAGTAAGGACAAACACATACGTAGGGAAAAATACTGGTATATCTGAAGAGGTATTTACAACAGAGAGATTAGTAGTCAAACGAACGCAGGTTAGTCAGTAACAATCAGAAAGAGTATAATGTCCAACTGTATCTTCCGGTAGAGAGACGGAAGTGTGATGGTCACCTGATCTCCCCAGAACTCTATAGAACTGTCCTATTAGTAGTAGAGAGATCAGTCCATTCTGATGAGAAGGTGGGTGCGCCCCAACAATTATTAAACATATTCACAGTACACAGGAAAGTGTCAACGATGCGGGCATAAAAATGAAAGTTATTTGCACGTAAGACGAAAGTTGACCCACAAATGACTATAGGTAGGTATAATTTTTACTCGGTATTTAACCTATACAAGGACGAAGAGCCACTTTAAAGTAAAGATTTATTACATTAAGTTTTTTTTATAGACATGAGAGGACAAAGTAAGGGCAGATTATGAGAGTTCTTGATAAGCTCCAGAGGCGGATATGCAATATAATTGGCCCTGTTCTGGCATCTCGTCTACAGTCGCTCTCTCACAGACGCGCCATCGCCTCTCTGTCTTTTTTTACAAATACTTTCATGGCAATTGCTCCGAGGAGCTGCATTCGCTGGTTCCCAGACTTCATGAGTTCAAGCGCCCTACGAGGCTGGCATCCTGCTCTCACCCTTTCACTGCCGAAACTATTAAATGTAGCCGTCTCTTCTACTCCAGTAGCTTCATGTCTCGCACCTCTCACCTGTGGAACTCCATTCCCTATTCCAGTTTCCCTGAGAGCTATAATATATAACTATTCAAATGTAATGTCAATCGACATCTCCAGTTGCTTTGATCTATCCACTACCCTTCTCCTCATCCTTTCTTCTATCACTCATATCTGATCTGTCTCCAAATCTTCTGTAACCCCTTGCGTCCTAGTGGCTTCCCGCTTTGCTTGGGGTGAAACGCTTAATATATATATATATATATATATATATATAAAAGAAATATGTTGTAGTGGTTCCAACGAGAGAAAAGTATGTATATTAAAAAGAAGAGGGATGCCAACACACAAACAGAATGTCTCATATCGAGAATATTCCACATTGAACATGAAGAAAAATTAATTATTTTTAATAATATGTAAAAATCTCCACTTTCACCTGAAGACGGTTGCGAGACCAGACCAGAAACATGTGTCGTGAAATTATGTAAAACAAAGTATAATATTTTTTCTCAATAAATCCACATTACAACCAAAAACGTTTGCGGCATCCCTCTTCTTTTTAATATATATATATATATATATATTGGATAGATATCCATTGGAAGCCCATGCTAGAAATGGATTTAGAACGGATTTTTGAAGACAGAAACCGAAGTACTGATCTGTGCAAAACCAAAAGTAGGTGTTAAGTACAAATTTTAGCAAGTACTCTATTGATTCACTGATAAAATCAATCTTGTTGGCCCCATCACGGTTGAGTGTCGACAACAGGATTGCACCAATTGTAGGTCAACCCAAGGAGAACAGGCTTGGTGGCGTTAGCTAACGGATGAACTTTGGCTGACTTTAGCCGCTTCTGTATTTTAAAATGATTCAAGGAGTTGTCTGTACAAGAGCTGGTGGCTACTGTTAGGATTAACATCTCTGTCCGGAGGCAGCCTTTTACAAATTAATTTGTTTGAATTATGGTGTAAACCTCATTCAACATGCATTCACAATGTTTTGAATGTCACTTTAGGGGGGCAGACGTGGAGCCAGTAGCCTCAACTTGTAAAAAAATGTCTGATCGGAACATGTCCAAGATCGATCTAAGTAGATGAAATCTGTAGACCTTTGCTGTGTGACGGCTGTGGAAGCTGTGTGAGAAAGCTACTGGCTATATTCCACTGGCAAAGAAAAAAGAGTACAAACGACGCCATGACAAAGAAGCCTTCAGAATAAACTAGGGATTATGGTTTCGAATGCACTGAGTAGTGGTACGAGCATAGGTCACTGTCAGTAGCAAGTGAATCTAATGTGGGATACGACCATTTGATTGACAAGCGCTTGGAAAGCAATCGCCCTGATACCAGTTTTGTGCAGCTGATAGACGTTGCAGTACCTTGGAATAAGAACCTGGTGAAAGCGGAACAAGCGAACATAGAAATGTACCAAGATCTGGTGCAGCAAATCGGAGAAATGTACCATAGTTGTCCTTCTTGCAGTTGGCGTATTCGGGATTATCCGTATGAATTTCTCTACGTCTCGTGGCCCCATTGGGGATACCTGTCACCGCTGGGAGTGCGCATGGGGTAGCGCTGCTTGAAACAGCTCATATGCTAAAGTAAAGCTTTGTGTCTTTATGCTGCGGACAGGAACTCATATATAATCTTCATCCGCCGGCCGAAACATCTGAGAGAGGATTTAATAATTATAGCAGTAATTGCTGGAATGCTTGTAGCAATCTGGAAAGCTCTTAAGAAAATCTGGAAATCTGGGTAAGAATTCAATTTATTCAATCAAATTTCTTGAAATCTAAGAAGATGCAAAAGCATGGAGAATCATGCTGTCAGTTAATTTCTGATGCGATTTAATAGCTGCTGGTATGAATTAATTAGTATGAATATTCATACGATACTGAAGATGCTGAGAACTTAAGGTGACATACTGAGTCACTACGAGATAGGATATGTGAATATTCAAATGAATGAAATATACTACTTAATACCAATAATAATAATAACATCGCTGCTATTATTAATATTTCTACTACTAGTAATACTACTAATAATATTAGTAGATAAATTCGCCTATCGCCCGGTTCACACACCTCTACGATTTTATGAAAAGGAGTAGAGTTTTTTCTTGGTTTTCTATTTAGGATTGGGTTTCCGGTAACTTCTAAAATCTGCTTCAACACTATATTTCTATCATCTCCTTCTGATCTCTGAAATTTTAATTACTAATTTTTTAATTTGATTTTTTTCTCCTCAATAGGTGTAGATAGTTGAGCTTCGCCCATCATCCCGTTCTTACTCCTCCCCAGTTTTGTTGAACAGGAATATCGGTTTATCTCTGTTCCCTGTTTTGGATCGGATTTCCGGTTCCTTCTAAAATCTTGTCATTCGCTTTCACTCCCAGTAGTTCCTTGCATCTTAGTGGCATTAGTGGCTTTGCTTGGAGTGAATTGATGATGATGATGAAGAAGAAGAAGAAATAGAGAAAAAAATGAGAAAGAAATGATAAAGAAATATCAAATAAGAATAAAAATGATAATCTGCAGCTTGAAGTGCAATTAAGATATACTAGTTTATCGAATCTTTTGCAATTTTCAACGGGATCTTTCCATTTTGGGGGGATTGTTGCGCCCTTACTCGCCTTAAATCATGCAGGAGTAAGAGAAAAATATAAATTTATCATTAAAATAAAAGAAAGAGCTAAAAACAAGACAAAACGTTTGGAGAATAAAAATGGCCGAACGGCAAAAAGAAGCAATTGGGGAAAAAATGGCGGGTGAAGAAGTGGCAGTTGCTGATTGGCCGAATTTTAAAACGAGTGTAGATGGATGCATGGCTGACAGCAAAGGCGAAGAACCCTAAGTGCTGATTTCCTTTTAGCCATTTTGTTTCTTCTTTTGCGGTAAAGCGCCAATTACGGGTGGTTAACGGATGGCTGGGTAGTTAGGTGAATGATGTCGGAGCTAATGACATGAGTGCCGCAGTTAATAGATAAATTCTGGGGAAAGTAGGAGAAAGAAAGATAGTGAAATCAGATAAAGAGAATCGTGGAAAGTTTGTTCATTAGGCTGCGTCACTCATTTTTGGTTCTTTGTTATTATTGTTGGTAAATAATCATACAGCTGAGACATTAGTTTCATTTATGTATTCACTTTTGTCAGATAGTAATTACATCACTGACAAAATGGCGCCATTGTCAAAATATGGACGTATCTTTTCCAGAAAAAAAGTTTAATCCACTTTTGATAATAATATTTTTCTTTCTTTCTTTTTTTCTTTCTTTCTTTCTTTCTTTCCTTCTTTTTTTCTTTCTTTCTTTCTTTTAGTAGTATCAGTAGCAGCAGCGGTAGTAGTAGTAGTTGTAAAAGTGCTTTATTATTGTTGTTGATCTATTTGATTATCATAACGCTTATCATTTCTAATATTTCTACCGTCATTATTATTGCAAGAGCTGTTATATTTTACAAGAAGTTAGATCTTATAAAAGAGAAAGAAATTGTGCTATATGATTTAAAAGGAAAGAAGTTGAAAGAAATAAAGGAAAAAAACACGAAAGAAAGAGTGACTGAAAGAATGAAAGAAAAATAACTGAATGAATGAAAGAAAGAAAGGATGACTGAATGATTGAAAGAAAAAAGAAAGCAACAAAGAATGACTGAAAGAAAAATAACTGAATTAATGAAAGAAGGAAATAAAATAAGATAGAATTACTGCATAGATGAAAGAAAGAATATAAAATAGTTTTAAGTAGAACGAAAGGGAAACTAAAAAAGAAAAATATTTGAAGAAAAAACATAAAAAAAGGAAAGGAAATGAATAAAATGAGGAAGAAATGAAGAGAAAGGGAGAGTAACACTTAACTAAAAGAAAGAAAGAAAAAAAGAAAGAAAAATGAAAGTAATTAATTATACGGTACGAACAGAAAGTAGAAACGTAAATGACACATCAATAAAAAAAAGACAAAAAAAAAGACAAAAAAAGACAAAAGTAAGACAACAGAAAAAAAGTAAAAGAGAAGGAAAATTCTTTTATAAATTAAAAGGGAAGAAGTCAAAAAAAAAGAAATGATAATAAAAGATGACGAAATAAAAGAAAATAAAGAAAGACAGTAACACCAGTAAAAGAAATAAAAGAAAAAAAGAAATAAAGGAAGAAATATTGAGAGAGAGCGAGAGAGAGAGAGAGAGAGAGAGAGAGAGAGGGAGAGAGAGAGAGGGAGAGAGAGAGAGGGAGAGAGAGAGAGAGAATGAATCAGTAAAAAGAACAAAAGAAAAAAAAATCGGAGGATGAAAGTAGGGAAGTAAGAGAGAGAGAAAGGAATTGTTATGTAACTAAAAAAGGAAGATGGCAAAAGTATAAAGAATGAAAACAAAAGAAAAAGTAAAAAGAAAAGGAGTTTTATTAGTGAAATGGAAAGAAGGTAAAAAGAAAGATATAAGCGAAAGGAAAACAAAACAAACGTAAAAAAGGAAACGAAAGGAAGAAAGAAAAAAAAAAGGTAAACGGAGAGAGATGGTGAGATGTAGGGGAAGAAAACCATTTTCCGAAAGGAAACAAAAGAATGGACAATGAAATATACTTATATACATACACACATTCATATCAGTTGCAACTGAATAGTTTAATTCGATCGTCACTGGCTGCAACATATATCTAAGCTATGCTTAAAAAATCAAAATATACCAACCAGAAATAAATCTTCCATAATGGTAAGACAATAGTGACAATGGCATCTTCATTCATCTAATGTTTTACCATTATGCGGGAGGTATTTCTGGGAGGTATATGTGAGAAGTATTCGCGTTGTACCCGATATATATATATATATATATATATATATATATATATATATATATATATATATATATATATATATTTTTTTTATGTTCACACTTTTAAGTTTTACAGAGTAACGCTCAAGTCGACTTGCTTTCTTTTCATATTTGCGCGTTAGTATTACTAACGTCATCAAGGCTTAGCTTTGAACAAAGAAAGTTCCTCCTGAAATGTTGCTGGATGTAAGAAAATGCGGTTGAAGTTCAAAGGTGGTGTCGAAGAGAGTTTTATTCAGAGCCACCCAAGCGGCTGTCAACCTCAAGAATTAGAGATAAATTTGATGCTCATGAAAGTGTACACAATGTGCACAAAAAACTTCCGTAAGGACGCCGATATCAACAGGTCCTGTGAAGCGAAATGTTGATAGCTGCTTGTGATTCCCCACTGCGTCAATCTCCGGATCATAACGGGCATCAATTTGAAAAGATCCGATGAGAAAATCTTAAGGGCACGCATTTATAATAAGTAGTGTCTTCATATGCATTATTTAAATTAGATATAGTTGGTTCTTGCTGCTTGAATTATTTCTTGAGAAAGTGTTATAATAGGTCTACATGTTTTTGAGATGCCCTGTGTATATATATATATATATATTTATTAAGTAATTCATCGAGTCTAGAAGAAACAACAGAATGCAGAAAGCACTGGACGGCCGTTTAGTCCTATATTTGGGACTCATCAGCAGTGCGCATCCACTACCGAGAATTGAAACCCGGACATTGACAGGCAAACGTCATACTAACTGTACTAATAGGACGAAACGGCCGTCCGCTGCTTTCTGCTGAGGTTTCTTCTAGACTCGATGAATTACTTATCTCAAATCCTCCTTATTTTCTATCATATATATATATATATATATATATATATATATATATATATATATATATATATATATATATATATATATATATATATATATATATATCGAAATGAGAGAGAGACTTGATGGAATAAAAATCCACTGTTCGTAGCATTTATTTTTAAAAAAAGGTCCTCAATACAAAGTAGAGCAATATATAATTATTATATTTTTCTAGATCGCTAGAGAAAAGCTTTCATGTTTCAATAGCCTGAAGAAGTACAATCATGGTACTGAAACGTGAAAGCTTTTGTGCAGCGATTTCAAAATATTTTATTATAATCTCTTATATACATACATATACATACACACATTCATATCATTGCAACTGATATGAATGTGTGTATGTATATGTATGTATTTAAGTATATTTCATTGTGCATATATATATGCACACACACACACACACACACACACAGAAGCACACAATCATTTGGCTCGCTTCTCCTTATCTGGTGCCACGTCCAAAAGATTGGTGATTCTCACAATGGGAGATGGATTTGAAATTTAGCCCAGTTAAAAAAAGTTCGCAGAAACAAACGAAAATATTGTGATTTTCCAAAAAAATATTATTGTTCCCCCACATGTTATCTAAAAAAACAAAAAAAAACATAATATATCAAAAATATTTTTATCATTTTCTTTTTATATATAACATAAGGAGCATATGTGAATATTTGCTCTCTCTCTCTCCCTCCCTCTCTCTCTCTCTCTCTCTCTCTCTCTATATATATATATATATATATATATATATATATATATATATAAACACTGAGTGGCGACAGTCTTTTCAAACAGATCTACCAGACTGAAAATTACGTGCAACCATGACTGTCGCTCTTCGGTGTTTACCTCAGTGTCCACGCTTTATGAGAGGTAAATCTGAAAAGTAACGGGACTATGTGTGCCGTGTGAGCTATGTGCCAAAGAGGGATAAGCGGATTGTGTTATCATCTAACATGATATCTTTGGGGTATATAACTGTTATCTTAGCTTTCTGCAACCATCGCATTTTTTACATGTTTTTGTGGCAGTACAAATCATATCTGCTTCACCACGACAATGTACCTGCTCGCAACAGTTTCTGGGTGAGAATAACCTTGCCATACCGGAACAACCTTCCTATTCCCCTGGTCTTGCTCCGTGTGACTTTTTTCTTTTCCCCAAGCTCAATGGGATAATCAAATGGACAACTTTTGAAGGCAGGGTGACCATCAAGAGGAGCGTAACGCCAGAGCTGAAGGGCATCCAAGAAGAATCCTCCCAGTAGTGCATAGAAGAGTGGCAGAGAAGGATGGGAAAGTGCATTGGCCACGATCGTAATTATTTGAAGGCGAAAACATGTAATTTGGAGTTTGGAATTGATATAAATTGTTTCTGACACCAGCCCCTTATTTTTCTGACAGACCACGTATATATATATATATATATATATATATATATATATATATATATATATAGATAGATAGATAGATAGATATGTGAAAATATATAGAAAATAGGAAGGAACTGGTTAGGTAAATAATCCAAAGTCCCTTAGTATTTTAGTTATTATTTTTAAAAAATAGTGCTCGATACAAAAGTAGAGCATAAATATAATTATTTATTTAAAAATATGATTCCAAATCGCTTCATAAGAGGTCACATGTTTCAAAAACAAGTTGAAGATGGAATATAATCCTTTAAATTTAAACTCAATTTAATTTAAATGATTATATGGAAGCTCGGCTTTGTTTTGAAACATGAGACCTTTTATTGAAGATTTGGAATCATATTTTAAATAAATAATTATATATATATATATATATATATATATATATATATATGTATGTATGGTGGATTCTGTCGTCGTATTCGAAGAATGAGGAACAAGCAGCTCAGTTTCTAAGAATTGACAGCCCAGACACCAGCATATATGATTTGATTATATTGGTCAATGCTTTGTGCAGGCCCAACCACACTTTTTGAAGGGCTAAATACAGAGACCTTGTGCACTACGTGTCATAAGGTCCCCAAACAACCCTCCGCAGGTTTTGAATTCAGAGTTGTCCTTCTCCTAGACCAGTTGCCATCCAAGGCTATAGAACCCAGTCTATCCTGCTATTTACCTATAATTAGTGGGAGAAGAGGAGGATTCACACCTTTACCAAGGGTATTAGCACGTAATAGCACGTAAGTGAATGTAATGGATTCGACTGGAATTCGAACTCAGCTCCCCGATTCCTCAATCCGAGCCTGTATCCACTTTCTCTCTCTCTCTCTCTCTCTTTCTCTTTCTCTCTGTGTATGTGTGTTTGTATGTCTGTGTGTGAGTGTGTGTAAAATTTTCAGATAGTGTATATTTGACAAAAGAGAAATTGAACTTAGCCGACGCATTCCGCCCGCTGGGGTACTTTGTAAGAATTTTATTTTGTAACAAGTATTTATATACGTTTCATTAAATAAATTAGGCAAGTTTTATCTGTTTTAATAGTTTCCTCACGTAATTACGGACAAGTTTCTTAGCATCCTTATTAACGGAAGAAAGAAAATTACCGTGTTGATGCATATTCATTTTATTCCGAAAACATTTGAAATTAGTACAGTGTCATCATCAGGGTCTTGTTTTTACTAAAATATATCCTCCACAGATCCCACTAAAAAAAATAAAATTAATTATATATTATACTAAATTCAATAATATCGAATTTAATCATTCGGAATGAATCCTCCCCACCAACTAATGTGTTGCAGAAAACCAACATTGTATATAAGTTTAAATACCCCTTGGGAGATTGTATCGCCAACAGAAAAATAATATATGTTGGTCAAACCACTACTACATTGTCTCGAAGTTTGAGTTTTCATTTGAATGATTCATCTAACATCTCCCAATATTTACAACAGCATGTCTGTCCATATTCGCAATTAGGAAAATTCTTGTTGGAAATACTTTAAATTTTCATGAAAATAATAAACATAAAGTAAAAGTTCTTTAAGTTATCAAAATTAAAAAATTGAAACCAACCTTCAATAAAAATTAATTACGAATACTGCACACATTTTTAAAAATTTTTACAGTAGATACTTTAAACTATCTAGGTTTACCTAATAGTTTTAAATAGTTTGTCTATTCTTTTTAAAATATTTAGACAATTTCAATAACTTAGTTACCTCCCTTGACGTTTGCACGCGTGTTTACATGATAAAATTTTAAAAATCATACATTATATAACCTTACCAGTTTTCAATTCACACGTAAACATTTAATTTTCAGATGAACAAAACAATTTTTTTTCTTAGAAAAAAAAAACAGATACTGATGGCGAAATTGTGCTAATGTCAAAAGTACTCGGAATAAAATGATTGTACACCAACATAGTAATTTTCTTTCTTCCTTTAATAAGGATACTAAGAAACCTGTCCGTAATTATGAGAGTATCCTATTAAAAATAAGTAAATAAAACTTATCTAAAATATTTAATATGTCTTAATGAAAACATGCTGCCAAAATATACTCAATATATATATATATATATATATATATATATATATATATAATAAAAGGATCAAACACTGATATTTTATGATTATAATTTATTACATTAGAATCATAATCACGATCTAATTCATCAGACTTACAAATTCAATAAGAAATCGGTAAATATAACTCCGGGTATAAAAAACAAAATTTGTATCTGTGGGAGTAGGAAACAAGTGTGAGAGGGAAATGTATGAAAGCTCTAGAGAGAGGGTGTAATAGAAGAAAGAAGAACAGGAAAGACTAAAGGTGAAGGGGGGATTAAAATTTAACAGAGAAGAGTTTTAACGAGAGGAGTTAAATAACGGTTTAAATGAGATACAGA